GAATCAGGGGTGGAAAGGAGGAGTGTGCTGTCACAGTATGGGGAAAGCAATTAGGGTCACATAACAATGTATGTATAAATTTTTATACGGGAAAAAATTAAAAAAAAAAAGAAATGGTTTCTGGGTATAATGAAACATGATAAATGAGTGGCCCCTGCCACTCATGAAGTGCCAGTGCTGGGGAGTTCACTTTTCAGCAGAGATAACAAATATGAGCGCCATGCCCATGGTAGACATTGACTAGGAAGGGCTTACCTATGGAGCAACGTTTCCTACTCAGTTGGACCTTAAGAATACTCCTCAGTAGGGCTATTAAGGCAACTGTCCCCAGTCAACCTATTTTTCTAATTCCTCCTATGACAAAATTCTGCTTGCTCTGTACCCCTTTCTCTATTGCTACCATGTGCTTTTAGCTTGCTTCCTAATTTACTTCATTGTCCTATTACCTACTTCCTCCCTTTGCTATTATCTTTACTCTCACCCTTGTACTGCTCAACTCTACCCTTACTTGATTCTCTTGGGGCAGACATGGCATTCAACATGCTAGTCCTACCCTGTCATGCCTGCATCTCCTAGTCTGCTCCCTTGGCTCCCACTGCATGGATGGTGGGCCATGGGAGCCTGTCCTCTGCCACTGATGCTCAGACCAGGTTTGAGCTCCTAAATGAAGTTGGGAATGTGAGATTCTCAGTTCAAGAATTTGGACTTGGAATGAAGAGACTGTAGTCAGTTGGTGTTGGACACATGAAATGCGAAGTCATGAAAAGCTGGGCTTGAGGCAATAACTTTCTGCCATAGACACATAGCCAAGCAGAAGATGCTGGCATATCAGATGCATTCAGGTGCAAGCATAAACTGCTCGACTGGCAGTGGCTTAAATGCATAATGGATTACTTTTTCTCATGATACTATCAAGGACTTAGGCTTTTCTATTCTCAACATGTTGTCTTTTAGACCTTAAGGTATCTTCCCAGGGTAGTAAGATACTGTTGCTGCTCCAAGCATAACTCTCAGGTTCAGATTAGGAAGAAGGGGCAGTACCAGTCACGTCAGTCCCTATTATCAGGAAAGCAAAGGCTTTCATAGAAGCCCTCAGTAGATTTCTGATTTTATCTCACGGCCAGAACCTTGCCTGTGGCCAGCTTAGCTTCAAGAGTGGCTGGTAAAGTGACCGACCATTCACCTTTTCCAGACCCATGGCAGAGGGCAGCAAAAGAGAAGAGGGCCTGCCAAACAGCAGGTCTGCCACAGAAGTGTGTGTGTTGGGGGGGCAGTGGGCGGTATAGGGAGCTGGAGGATCACTGTGCTCCTGTTTCACATGTCCTCATGCTGGTTGGTGGTGAGGCCTGGCTATACTTTCTGCACCTGAGCTCCATAAGGGATCCCAACTCCTTCCAAAAAATCCCTCACTGCTTTTATCTTAGGCTAGTCTGGGAGAGGTCTGTTTATTGCAACCAAATGATCTCTAAGATGCTTTTTTACTGTGAACAAGCTATCCTGCATTCTCTAACCTTATGGTTCTCAACCAGGGCTAATTTTGCCTCCAAGGGACAGCTTGCAATGTCTAGAAACATTTTTGAATGTCATGACTATGTAGAGTGCTACTGGCATCTAGTGGGTAGAGTGGCTGTTAAACATCCTACAGTGCAGAGGACAGCCCTCCCAGCAAAGACTTATCTAGCCGCAAAAGTTAACAGTGCTGAGGGCGAGAAGCCCTGATCTAACCAGTCATAGTGGTTCCATTCCCTGCCAATAACTGATTTAGACACGATGAGAAAGTGAACATCAATCAGATTGACAACTAGGCTGAAAGGTGGGGTGGGGGGTTGAAATCTGAAACAAACCACAACTAGCAAAGCGGACTTCAGCATGATGACTCGTAAACAGAAAAACTGAATTACATTGTGTCCTGCAGCACAAATGATCTAAGTTCAGACCATTTTAACACCAGCTCATTCAGACCCAACTGCTCCAAGATAAGACCACAGGCAGATCTCACAATAATTCTGCCCAAGATAAGAACACAGGCAGATCTCACATAATTCTTTATGGATTCATCTGTTTCATAATAAGGCCACCGAAGCTGCTAGTTTACAAATTCTGACCCATCTCTGCCAAGACCATCCTATGCCTAACTCCAGCCCCCCAAGTCCTATGACTAACTCCCTTCCTTCCCTGTTTTGAGGAGCCTCACAGGTATTTTGGTGCATTCTCCCCTGCTGCAGCAAGTTCAATAAACATAATTTATTATTTTTTCTACAGATGTGTTCTTGGCTGTTTTTGTTGGTGGGCTTTAACAGTGGGCATAGGATACAAATAACTCCATTTCAATGGGCTAAGTGCTATAGTTGGGGCATGTTCAAAGTGCCTTGGAAACAAAGAGGAAGATGTTTTGCTTAAGAAATTAGGGAAAGGATTTTCAGCAATAATAAAGTGGGTCCTGAATGATAAAAACAGTGGATGTGAAGGAAAGCATATTACAGGAAGAAAGAATAATATGGACAAAGCCATGGAATTAGAAATGACAAGCAATCCTGAGTCTCTGAAACATGGGATTCAAGGTAACAAGGATAAACTAGACAGGCAGGCAGGGTCAGATGAAGTGCTTTATTAAAAGTGTCCCTGATTTAATAGCTCTATTGGCTATACTCAAGGAGCCCTGGTGGCAGTGGTTAAGAGTTCTGCTGCTAACCAGAAGGTTGGCAGTTTGAACTCACCAGCTGTTCTGCAGGAGAAAGATGTGGCAGTATGCTCCAGTAAAGATTACAACCTTGGAAACCCTACGGGGCAGTTCTACCTTGTCCTACAGGGTCTCTATGAGTCGGAATTGACTTGACAGCAAGGGGTTTGTTTGTTTGTTTTCTTGGCTATATTCAGTGACACAGAAAGAATTAAAATGTTGCCAAGGCCTGAATTATCATCTGGGATGGCTACAGAACTAGGTTTATGTAAGAACGCTCCATTTCTGTCTTGCTGGTTCTTTAGCCTGGGATATTCATGTGGAATTTTAGTGCCATCTAGCACTGAAAAAGGTCATGGCAAGTTTGCACCAGGAAAGCCTCCATGTGCAATAAGGAAGTTCATTTCTAATACTGGATTTTGGAACAAGCCTTTTTCAAAGATGATTTATACTGGCACTAGTTGGACTTGGTGTCCTCTGCCTGGAAGTCCTCCAGGTTTCTTCCCACAAATCCTATTCAACTTTCAGCTCCTTCACTGCCCCCTCCCCAATGCTCTCACAAGATCATGTTCTTCCCCTTCAAAGCAATTATTACAAATTTTACATTTACTTTTATGATGATCTGATTAAAGTCACTCCCATTAGTTTTCGTTCCATAAGAGAGGGACCTTCGTAGTTTGCTCACCATCCTCTCCCAGCACCTAACAATGTACCTAGTTCTACTTATATGCTGCCTTTACTTCTAAGGATAACTCTTTTATAAACTTTATCACATGCCTGCTGTAACCTTTACATAAAGATTTGATACACATCTGTCCTTAACTAAAGGGAAAAGATTTTATAGCCTACGTTGTTGCCTTAACTGGATCGGTTCAGAAAAGATCATACTTTTAGGTAACCATGTGGGTTACTGTACTCACTAGCCTTATGAACAGCAGTCTCTGTCAACTTAATAAACAGCACCATCCTCTCTGCCCTAACGGCCAATACCTCAGTCCAGCACTGTCGTTCATAATAATTATTACCGCTGTCTCACAGTCAGAAAACAAGACGAAAGCGGCAAGCGTGGGGGCTGGGCCAGGTGAGCCCGAGGTTAAGCCCCTCGCTTCCGGGCCCCAGAGACCTCGGCGGCGCTCGCTCGTGACCGCGTTTTGTGCCCTGCGCCCGGCGGGACCAATCCAGCCCAGCCCAGCCCAGCGTCTCAGGCTGACACCTAGCCCGGGTCGAATTTGCTGGGAGAGCCCAAGAGCGAAGCTCAGGAGGCCACCCGCCCAGCAATAGAAAGGGGCGGGGCCGGCACTGCGGATTGGTCCTTGGGTGTTACGTCCTTCTGTGCGCCGAGCTCGCGCGCCGCCGGAAGTCGGGGCAGGCCGGAGGACGGGACGTAGGCCAGAGGCTGCGTAGAGCCGGGGCTGGTGCTTGTCAGTCCTCGCTGCTTCTTGAGGAGGTCGGCGGTGGCTCCTGCATCATGAGCGAGGCGGACGGGCTGCGGCAGCGTCGGCCCTTGCGGCCTCAGGTTGTCACGGACGATGGCCAGGCCCCGGAGGCCAAGGACGGCAGGTAAGCCGGACCCCCGGGCCAGGCGCTGGAGAGGGGCCGCGCGGGGCGGCTCTCGTTAAGAAGGACGGCAATAGCAGTAACTGGGTAAATGGGGTGCCAAAGGCGCTGCGTGCGCTATCTTATTTAATCCCCGTTGTAAGATCCATTTTACCGAGAAGGAAACTGGCTCCGACGAAGCGGATGCACCTGCCAAGTTCTGCAGGCTTCGAGTCCACCCTGCACCCAATTGCCGCGTTATTCTCGCGGTCTCGGGGTCCCGGCACGCGCCACACCTGCCGCTTCCTGCCCCTCACTCCAGCCCGATCCCTGTCCCCACCGCCTCTCCGCGCTGTCCTTCCTGCTGGCTTACCTGAGCGGCCCACCCTCTCTCAGAACAGAGCCACCCGGTCCACAGCCCTGCATCTAACCTGTCCCCTACTTGCACTGTCCTGAAGGGAGGCCTGAAAGGATGCTCGCGTCCCGCCTCGTGATCCAGCTAAGAGCTGGCTTCTAGCGCTGCTTTTCTGCACCTGGCCCCTCCTGGTGCGCGACCAGTCCTCACCGCGGACTTCAGGAGAGAGCAGCGAACAGAAGTTACATTGTTAGGCAATTTTTGTGAGAATTCAGCCTTGCAGGTTTTTCCGGGTAGGGCCAGAGAAGTATAGGAAACTGTAGTTGTTGATGTCTGATGGAAGAAGTCTCAGGTTTTTGATCTTTGTTTCCTGTCCCAATCTTCGAGAATTTTAAGTATGCTGTGTTTTGTTAGTTAAAAACAGAACCATAACCCTTAAAATATTCAACATAAGACACAAAATTCTTTTTCAGTGTTGTGTCCTGAGTTTCATAACTTTTAAGTTTTTAGAGAGAACCAAGAGGCCCCAGAGGCCAAGCCCTCTGGGAGTAATTGACTTATATGTTGATAGAAACATTGGAAATATTTATTGATCATCGGCAGTGTGCCAGGGGTTGTGGTACATGCTGAATGAGGGGCACCGTTTGCCTCTGACAGACTGAACTCAGTCAGTGATGACAGTAAGAGGAGTGCATCCGAAGGCGAGCTCTAGCAGAGAGGAGAGGCCAGCCGGTGGTGTCATCATGGGTGTGGGCTCTAGAAAGCATTTTGGAGACAAGATGTTGTCGTAGTGTCTCCCAGGGCCAGTGGAAAGGTTGGGAGGGTGCTGCCATATATCCTGGCTGTAGGATGACCAACCACCCCCAACCTTTCCTGGATTGAGGGGTTTCTAAGGACATAGGACTTTCAGTGCTAAACCTGGGCAAACTGGGGCAACTTGACCACCCCACAGACTGTGCCTATTATGACTTAAGTGTTGATGACTGATGAGCCTTTTAGGATGGACTTGCAAACGATGGCAGTGCTTTACTACAGAAGACATGTACATGATAAGTGAACAAACAGCTGGGCCTGAGTTTGTCCTGAGGTGCAGGATGTGGAAAACCAGGGCATACAGCACCTGAGGGCACTTATTAGATGGGCCCAACCTGAAGGAGCAGAGTTTTTTTGGTTTTTCTGTGGGGATATCTTCCTTATTGGCAGGGTAAATTGGATGTTCCAAAGTTATCTTTTGCTGCTTTATCTATTGTGTTTATTTAAGATATGTTCTTGACTTCCCTGTCCATGAACATTCTTATTTTCCTCTCTTTCCCTTGGTCTCTTCTCGTTTGATCCCTTTTTTTGTAAATCTGCAGTGATGTTTTCGAAGTGAGTTCATGTCACCCATCTTCATTTCTACATGCATTGTTGTAATGTTATAGCTGTTTTCGTATTTTTCTTCTGTAATTCTATAGTTTTCATTTCTTTTGTAGTCATTTCTAGTACTTCTGATTATCTTGATTACTTTGAAAGTTGAGAGTTCAACATAAGACAGAAAAGTCTTGTGTATAGTGGGTGAAGTATAGGAATCTGAAGGAAGTAGAATTGTGCTAACTATAGAGTAAACTTTAATGTGCTGAACAAAATAAAAGAAGCCTTGGGAGATATATTATTAAATTAAAAGAACAGAAGTAGTACAGCAGATTTTAGCAGCGGAAGAGACACCTTAGGGGTACCTTGGCATATATATAACTCTTGGCATATAAGGTGGTATTAGCTGTTTTACTGAGGAGGCATTGAGGTCTACGTGGTGAAGTGGTTTATCTAAACTACAGAGTAATGGAGTCAAAAGAGAAAATTATGACTTTGGAAATAAGACTTTATGCCAAAGCTCTTAAATTTCTGTTTCTGAGTTAAAATGGAGAATTTAGTTGTTAAACTCTTTTATTCAGTGTGAAACATAGATGAGATAAGCACTTTAGCATACTAGTGCAAGCTTATAATTGTTATTAAACCAAAAACTCACTGCCACTGAGTCGAGTCCGACTCATAGCGACCCTATATGACAGAGTAGAACTGCCCCATAGGGTTTCCAAGGCTGTAAATCTTTATGAAAGCAGACTGCCAAATCTTTGTCCCACGGAGTGACTGGTGAGTTTGAACTGCTGACCTTTTGGTTGGCAGCCGAGTGCTTTAATCACTCCTTACGATTGTTATTATTAGGCATCAATTCCCCCAAATGCTTTAGAAACTTGTAATAATTGTATACTGTGAAACTATTCATTCTCTTGGAACCCAGTTCCGTCTGGGAAGAGAAAATAGTTGTTTGACATTCATACATATAACTGTTTAGGAGTAAAGAGTGAATACGTTGAGAATGTAACAGCTACTTTTTCAGTAAACATCTGAAGGGTTTTGGACTGATTAAAAACATCTATATGAGGTCCATTTTCCTTTTCAAGACTGAAGAGTAAGGGAGGCACCATGTGAGCAGCCGTGAGGAACCCAGAGCTTTCTTCTCAGCCCTGCCCCTGGGTGTGTGTCTCCAAATGGCTCTTGTAACTTGTTTCTTAATTTTTTTCAGTGATGAAATGAAGACCCGTACAGTCTAGCAACAAGGAGCCCTGGTGGTGCAATAGTTAACCACTCGGCTGCTAAGTGAAAGGTTGGCAGCTCGAACTCACCAGTCGCTCCATGGGAGAAAAGACCTGGCGATCTGCTCCCATAAAGATTAGAGCCTGGGAAGCCCTATGGGACAGTTCTGCTAAATCGGAATCAACTCCAGGGCACACAGCAACAGCAGTTTAGGAGCCCCAGTTTAAAACAGGGCTTCGAACTGGTTCGTTCTGGTTCAAACCCCCGCCGAGAATTTGCATTTCTAAGAAGTTCCAGGAAGTGAGTTATACATAAGAATCACCTGGGGGATCTTGTTTCAGCTTCTGTAGATTGTGATTCATTATATCTGGGGTGGAAATGCATATTCTAAGCAGGGAACTTGGGAAGCTTGGGAAGTGGTCTGTTTTGGCCCTTTGTAGACTTTCAGGTGCACATTAGCAGGTGCTTTCCAGCCTTCAGGTCTTAGAAATGCTGATTCGGCAGGAGTTCAACTGGAACAAACCAGTTTGCAAAGCCCCAGTTAAAGGAATGTGAGAAAAGAACAGATTCAAAGTGCAGTCACTTAAAAAGACTGGGCTGTTTCTATTTGACTTCCTTTAGTTCCAGGAATCACCTTCACACCTGTGGTTGCAGGTCCTCGTGATTTGGGACTAACAGGTTTTCCTCAAAAACCACAGGTCATTTTTGATCTCACAGAGGCTGGCCTTAAGGGCTTCAGTGCACGACTCCAGGCTCTGATGTGCCCTATGCAGAAAGAGTTAGAGAGCAAACACGTTTCAGATTAGGCTGGAGAATACACAGAGGATTTTGTAAATTGTGGCTGAGCCAGTGGTAATTGTCAAATCCTCTTACATCATGGTGATTGCTCACTTGCCCTTAGAGACTGTGTGAAATTTCAGGATGCAGATCTCCTCAGGGAGGGCAAGCTTCGCTCCCAGCTTTTCTGAGAGATTAGGGCAAACAAATTGATTACCCAGACACACCTGGTTAGTAAGTTGCCAGCTTACCAGGATGTGTCAGCACAGGCTGGGAAGGAGAGCATGATGGGAACGTACAGATTTCATAGGGGAACTGTAGTGGCCTTAAGTTAAACTAGCGCAAGTGCGCCAAGTCAGAGGGATGCGGATGTGGAGAAATGGCTGGAGGCGTGCAGTTGCCTGCAAGTTTGCCTTGGGCTGAGCTAAAATAAGTGCAAGTATGGTGCCCAGGGCCTGGGGATAGGCACCTCCTCCAGCTCTGCACAGGTAGTAACAGACTCAGATGCCCTCCAGGGGAACAGTCAAGGAAGGGGAGTCAGAGAACTTAAGTCTGCATACACATCATGTTGTTTGGCTTTTACACTGCCCATGTGTAGGTTCCATAGGGAGTATGGGTCTAGGGAGAAGTGGAGAGGGTGTGCCTGTCTGAAGAGCAGGGACCCTGTATGGTGGCACTGAGGTCTCATAGGGCCAGATCTCCCACTTTTTCAAGAGAAGCTGGAAACCTAGACTTTTATGTGAAATCTTGTTTTTCAGTTTTGGCAATGAAAGGCATTTTGTGGAATGTCAGCTTCTGATTTAGACTAAAGCTTGACTTTGAGTTCTGGGCATCACATTTTGTGGGGGACTTTGACAAACCCTGAAACAACCAGAAGAAAGAATGGTCTGCAAGCCCCATTGCCTGAGGAGCTTCTGCAGGACTTGGGGTGCTTTGTGCAGAGAGAATTAAAGGATGGTGCAGTCGGAGGATCAGTTCTGGGAGCGCTGTCAGGTAGGACAGTTGTTTGCTGCTCTGGGGGCAGAGCTGGGCCAGGCAGTGGCACAGGAGGAAAGCATGTTTCTCAGAACGTGGTCCAGAGGTGACCCAAGAAGTTAGGGCTTTGTGAGTCCAGGAGCTTGGGAAGTGGTCTATTTTGGCCCCTTGTGGACTTTCAGGGTGCATGTTAGCAGGTGCTTCCCAGCCTCTCTGGGGTCCACCCTGTCCATGGGCCTGGCCTGTTCTAGCCCTAACCCACTCCCCTCACTCACTCTGGCTCAGTGCCCTGCTCTGGTCAAGGTTTAGAGATAGGCACTGTTAACAGAACTCCTTAGAGCATTTGTTCTTCACTCATATGGCAGGTATTTTTTGAGGTCCTGCTATGTTTCTTCTGCCTGAGTTGCTCTTCCCCCAGATGATTTGATTTCTCCCCAGATTTGTTGAAGTCTCTGCTCACATGTCACTAGCTTTGACCCCTGTGTGTGGCCAGCACACTCCATCACTCTACCCTACTGTCCTGCTTTAGTTGTCTTCATTGTGTTTGTCACTGTCTGGCATCTGCTTATTTATACTAAAATCACGGAGGGCAGGAAACTTTATTGTATTTACTTGGCTTATTTTATTTACTGCTATACTCTATGTAGGGCCTAGAATAGTACCTGGCACATAAATGCTTCTGAGTGAAGGAATATTAAATGGTCTAAGGGTGTGTTATCTAAATACAGTAGCCACTTGCCATATGTAGCTACTTAAATTACAATTAATTAAAATTACTAAAAGTAAACATTCAGTTCCTACATCCCATTAGCCCCATTTCAAGTAGCCCATCGCATGTGTGGCTGCTGTATGGGACAGTGCAGATTTAGAACATTTCCATCACTGCAGAAAGTTCCATTGCACAGTGCTACTGTTTGTGAAATTTGACCACAGAGCTTTCAGTAGAGGCTGGATGGTGACCTGTCGTCAGTCTGAGCAGACTTGTTTTACTGGGGAGGGCATTGGACAAGGTCAGTGGTGTCATCTACAAATCAGGAACAGCTGGGGAGCGTGAAAACAAGCTGGCCTCCCAGGCCCACTCTGGACCCTCCCACTAGAGTCTGGACCTCAGCCCAGGGTCTGCTTGTGTAAAGCTGCCAGGTCATCTTGATGCAGGCAGTGCAGGGACCGAGTGCCCGAGGAGCTCTGGACGGGGCAGCCTCTAGATTCTTCTCCTGCTTTTATACTATAAGAGGGCGTTACAGGTAGACCCCTGGTAAGGATGGGTGATGTAGGATGCAGTTTGGCCCATTTTGACTTCCTTTGCCATAAGCCATGGGCTTTTTGTTCTGGACATAATTGAGCCTTTTACCATTGTGTGAAGGGGCAACTGACTATATAATCAGGTGTCACAAGCTTTGTATCAGATGACCAAATTAAGATTTTCAAAATGCAAGCTGCAGTCTGGTAAAGGATAGTTAACAATGTAGGGTCTGAGGGAATGGGGGAAATTGTTAATGTAGGGTCACATGAGGAGAGGAAAGCGTAGAGTAGCACTTGGGTCACATTGCCATGGTTCTCGTGACAACTGTTGACATGGTGGAAGGTTGCATAATGTGGTTTCCCTGAGGGACCACTCCTCCTGGGCAGTGATTACGCCAGCCTCCTTGTCTGGGCAGAAAGTGTCCGTGATGGACTCTGTACCGAAAGGACCTGTGTGGGTGACTCTGGGCTGCAGTCGTGGTGAGGACCATGTGTCCCATTGTGCCCCTTTGCATGGGTTCCACTCTTTGGGTCCTGCTTTCTAACGAACCACACTATCAAAAACATTCCTATCATTTGTACATGTAAATAAGCCCTGCTTCACTTTACAGGTCCTTTGTCATTTCTGTCATGTGGGATGATGTTAGACATCCTTACTTAAAGGAGATCATTGGGGTTCAAGAGCACTTTGACTAGTGGAACAAATAGCTCTTTTAGAAAACATCTTTAGTGAGATATAATATAATTCACATATCATGGAATTCACCCATTTGACATGTCTAATTCAGTGGTTTTTAGCATGTTCCCAGAGTTGTGCAGCCATCACCACAGTCTAAGTTTAGAACATTTTCATCCTGTTAACTTTTAGAGAGTGTTTAAACTGATGGCTCTAGGTCCCTCCTCATGTTCTTTGGCAGGCAGTGCTGCTAATGTTGACCACAGGCTAGAGTCAGACTGACTTTCCATTGTGACTCAGTTCTGCAGCAGGCTGCTGGGAAGCCACTTGGACATTTCTCTGCTCACTTCCCTCATTTGTGAAGTAGAGAGGTACACAGTTCTTGTCTAGCTACTCACCTGAAGCATGCTGCATGGCACATAGTAAGTGCTCAACAAATTCATACTTTTACTGGTTTTATCATTGCTATTTCATGGCCCTTAAGCCTCTCCCCACTGCAGGCCTCTCTGGCTGCGTGCATCTGCTCTGTGTCCAGCTCAGGGTTCTTCTGTGTCGCAAAGGCCATCTCATGCACTTGTGGTTCTTGTACCCTTTGACTAGCATAAGTTGCATTAGAAGAGGTTTGTGTGGCTCTGGGGTTGTGGAGAGAGGCCTGGGCAGGAAGATTTGACTTGACCTTCCCCCTCCTGGCTGACTGCTTCCTTCCCCAACATGTGTTGGGCGTGGACCACCTCCTTTCCCAGCTAGCAAGAGGGGGAAAGGCTAACAACTTGGCAGTTTACCTAGCCTGGGCCCTGGTGGTGCGGTGGTTAAGAGCTATGGCTGCTAACCAAAAAGTCGGCCGTTTGAATCCACCAGCCGCCCCTTGGAAACCCTATGGAGCAGTTCTACTCTGTACCATAGGGTCACTATGAGTCGGAATCGACTCAACGGCAGTGGGTTTGGTTTTGGACTGGGAGAGTGGGTTCTGAGTTCTGCGTGAGTGAAGAGAAGAAAGTTAGGGACAAAATCTTTTCTGGAAGGTTACCAGGAGGAAAATGGGCACAGATGAACGTTCTTATTAGCGCAGGGAAAGTGTTTAAAGAAAAGAGAAATGGTTAGTACGGTTCCCTGTGCCTGTCCTGTACTGGAGGAGAGAGTAGCAAGAAGAAACCAGGCCACACCTTCAACACTTTGCTTGAAATCTGCTCAGCACTATAATCTGTAGGGAAAAAGGGCAATTAAGTTCCAGTTCCATCATTAAAAGTTCTGCTGCCCACATAACTGCAGGGCACAATTATGCTAAGCTTTCTGTCACACTATAATTGGGATCCCCTTCCTTCAGTGACCAGTAACATGGCCCTCACCAGCACACCTTTGACATCCATACTTTTACCCACAGTCTGTTCCCAACGATTTTAGGTTTTCTCTAAGAGATTTAAGTTTCCTCTACCGTGCACTTCACTGCCGTCCGAGTCCTCACTGGCAAAGTCTTTGACATCCATACTTCTGTTTCTGTTCAAGACAGTCTAGTCTTTTTTGGTCATGCTTCTCAAAATTCTTTCACTCTTCACCCACTGCCTGATTCCAGAGCAGGTGTTTGTTACAGTAGTGCCCCACTTCAGGTACCAAAATCAGTATTAGTTTCCTATTGCTGCTGCAACAAATTACCCAAATTTTGTGGCTCAAGCAACACAAATTTAGTGTGTTAGAGTTCTGTAGGTCAGAAGTCTGTCTGGATCTCCCTGGGCAAAATCCAGGCAGTGGCAGGGCTGTGTTCCTTTCTGAGGCTCTGGGGGAGAATCTGTCTCCGACTCACGTGGGTTGTTGGCAGAGTCCACACCTCAGGTGTGCTGTCTGAATGTCTGCACCTTCTGTGTCTGTCTTTCCTTTGCCTTTCACCTCAGCTTCCCCAGTAGAAACAGAATTATTTTCTGATTTATTCATTTTTTAAAATCATGCGTGTACAGAACTGGGGAGGGGGGGATGTTGGATTTTCCTTCCAAGTCCCCGTTTTACAGTGAGGAGCCTGCGGGCTGCTAGGGTGAAGAGACTCTCCGACAGTCTTGTGGCTGATTGTTGGGGAGCGGGGAATGGTACGTGGGCCTGCACATTTCTACCCTGAACCCAGAACAGAGTTAGACACGCTGAAACAGCAGAACAGCCTTCTGTCAAACACAAAACATTTCTCTTAAATCAATTCCATTTTGTTAAGTGTGGGTCTTGATTTATTTAAGTCAATTTTCTTTTTCTTTTTATAGAAAAAGATTTTCCACCTTAGGAGCTTATGATTTTATTTGCTTTAAATTAATCACAGTGTCAAGTGTGTAGTAAATCTGAGTGCCATTAATGTAAGTAAACAGTTATACTATGAAGTTCACTTAGCAAGAAGCTAAATGTTTTCCTTTGTTTACCAGGTAAGTAATAGTGTATGTGAGGATTGGCTGAGAGATATTTTAGTCACTGTTGGTCATTTATCCAAAAACTTTCACTTAAGATTCCCAAGATTCAGATTTTCTGAAGGATTTAGTAGTGATGATTTACAATTGTAATTTTATAAATTCTGTGTGAATTAGTGTCAGTAGCTGCCAGACTTCTTCTACAAGCTGGAAGAACTGGATTTCCTTTTGAATTGTTAAAGGGGTGATAAGCAAAATCATTGGGAACTGTAGGTTCAGGATGTTGCTCTACGTCCATTTGCTTCATGGATTTTTCTCCACTTCTTCTGCCCAGGAACCCTGAGAAATCTTAGAGACTGACAAGTACTGAGAGTCACTGCTTTGAACCCATGTCCCAGGAAATCGTGAGACCTCTGCCTGCCATGTGGATGAATGTGTATCCCTTATGTCACTGGGACTTTCTTTTCCCACTACTTTTTGTGCTCATCTTTGAGTTTGCCCTCTTTAAATTCTGCTAGAGGATTCAAATGCAGCCCATTATACTGTATGGAATTATCTGCCTAGAGTGTCCCACACAGCTGGAAGATTTAAAAAAAGAACAAAGGTGTATTTGCCAATCCTAGCAAACAGTGACAAAGTTTAATCACAAGGCACGGAGGTCAGCGGCCTTGCAGTGGGGACACTGGGGTGAGAGGCCCTGCTCCTGTCGGTTATGTTTCAGAAAGGACTCAAAAGATCAGGCGAGCTTGTCACCAGTTTAGTCTCTGCTGATCACCTCTGTATATTTTATTTCTGGCAGCACCTTTAGTGGCAGAGTCTTCCGAGTGACTTTCTTGATGCTTGCTGTTTCCCTCACCGTTCCCCTGCTTGGCGCCATGGTGCTGCTGGAGTCTCCCATAGACCCACAGCCTCTCAGGTGAGCTGTGCCAGCAACTTGTGGGAAGGGCTGCTTGGTAAATGTAATAAACTGAAATAATCTCTAGGGAACGGAGGGTAATTAAGCCAATCTGGCCTTAATGGTAAGTTATGAGAAATAGTGGTTTGTGATTTCTTTAGGATCCTAGTTCTCATATTGAATTGGATGTTACACAGGATATTATGTGTGATATTGTCCATGTCTGTAGTTGGCATCGACTCGACGGCAGTGGGTTTGGTTTGGATTGTCCGTGTCATAGTTTAAAAACAAAACTGTATAAACCAATAAGAGAACTCAGAAAATCCAAACAGTTAAGTTAGAGATAGATAACCTAAATTCATTGAAAGTGGCAAAAGCACCCACAAAGGTGAAGTTTAAATTGCCCTGTTTGAATTTTATCAGCAGATAATTTTTTTAATACCTGTGATTAATGTTCTATTTTTCCTAAGTTACTTTAACTGATGGGGAACTATGAGTGACGCAGTACATTTTAACTTGAAAAATCAGCATATACCTAGGGAACCCATGAAATATAATTCGTATATGTAATTGTAATAGTACAGACCTAGACTTCCTTGGTTGCAATGATCTATGATATTGATGTAGAACTGGTGTCGAAAGGGTTGTGCAGTCCAGTTGAGTAACTAGACATGCTTCCTTCTCCTTGAAACTGCCCAGGAAGGTGAAGCTGCCTAAAGGTTATTTTAAATGCGTAAGGTTTTGAAAACTTCAGGCAAGAACTCTGTCTACCTATAGAGTGATTGTAACATACAACTGAATGATGTGTTAATGTTTTATAAATAAAAATTGAGGCTTTATATGGGTTTCAACTTAATAAAAATGTATAGTCAACACTTAGTATGCCTAAGGTAGATACAAAGAAAACATATAATACAAAGACATAAAGAGAACACAGTTGTGACCTTAAATTGACACATATATACAGGAATCAATAACTCTGTGTTGGATTTAGAATTAGGGAAGTTACAGGTGCTGTCAAACACGATTGACTAGTGTGAGACTGAGACTAGAAGAAGGCATGGGGACTAGGAGCAGTTCTGAGTTTTAGCTCTGTGGTTTCTGGTGTGCCAGTGGATCCTCACATGTATCTCTGCCTGAAGTGGGCCTGAGGACATATGGTATCCTCTCAGAAGGGGCCTGCTTCAGCATCCCGAGGGGCTCCCAGGATGTGTTGGGGAAGGGGCTTCTCTCCTGTTAACTCCACTTAACAGATCAAAGAGTGTGGCTCAGTCCACCCCAAATAGGAACTAACCTGGGCCTTTTTGGGTAATCTACTTGTCTAAGCAGAGAGGAGAGGGGAGGGTGTCCCCAGCTGAGGATCCAGAGCACAGATTGGGAAGTTGACCTTGGAAAAGAAGGATACTTCTGCTGATAGAAGAGGAGAGAGTAAGTGAAGTTTGAGTTTTTGAGTTGGTGAGGGATAGATTAAGCTTGAGTGACTGAAAAACTTTGACCTCAGTAAAGTAAAAGTGAATTTCTGTGTGAAAAGAGTGGTGAAAAATTCAAAGATAGGCATGTGGCCCTGAGCAGAAACTAAAAGGAAATGTGGCCCAAGAGGCTCTGAAGAGTGAATTCTGCCTGTGCAGTCACAGGTGAGCTGGTGAGGAAGGCAGGGAAGAGAAACCCAGCAAAACCGATGTGGCTGACAGATTGCTCCCATGGGCTCAGATTGAGGGAACAACTTGCTTAAGAATTGGGAGGATGGGCCCCAAAATGAACAACAAAAGCAAAACACTGGCAGAGAGTCTGAGAATTGCAGTGGGCTGAGGTTTGGGAAAAAATGCAAATGACAACAGCAAAAAAGACTTTAAATTCTGTTCAGAGCCAAAAGAGCAAGGAAGGGAGAGCCCCACTCTTTGGGGCAAGTGCTTAACATTGTGATGACTGAGAAAGGCAGGACTGTTCAGCCTCTGCTCTGCCTCTATCACCTCTGAAGCCCGGGGTGTGGAGTCAGGCAAAGAGGTGGGGGAGGCAGGAGCCTTCAGTGGATTTGAGTGTTTGAGAGTCCATCTCCCAGGATGCTAAGAGACTTGCCTGTGAAACTGTAGACCCAGTTAGAAATCTTTGAGAAATCATAGAGAACAGATAGACCAGAGACTGATGGGGCAAAGAGGAGAGAAGTGGACACCCTTCCAGAATGGATTATTATACAGCTGGCTTCAGTACTTAGTGAAATCTCCAGGAAGGCAGTAGGGCTGTACCAAAAACCTGCTGTTCACCGTGGCATGCTTTCTTCCCCCTTATTTAGGAGACTAGAGAGATGTAATAGACACAGCATGCAGAGACAAACTGACTCCATAGTGTGTTTGGCAGTGTCTTCCGGGATATGTTTTGGTGCTGTCGTGAGACAGGAGCAGAGTGACCGTGCTGTCAGGCATGGTCATGTGGCCGACACCAGGAAGCCCAGGTCACTTCAGCGGGGCTACGTGTGGGACCTGAAATGGTCTACACTGACAAGTGTCTCTGACAACCAGCTCTCTCAGTTTCCACATCTCTCCCCAGTACAGGAGGTCAGGGAATGTGGAAGCTGTGTTTCTCTTACTCTGTTTTTCCCCTGCCAGACTCCCCTGGACCTCACCTGAGTTTCATTTATTGTGCTTCTATTTGCTCCTTTCTAAAAAAAAAAAAATTAAAAAATTGTTTTATTAAAGACTACAACCTTCAGCATGGATTACACCTCAACATAAAACAAAAATTCTCACAACTGGACCAATATTGAATATACCATGGACTGCCAGAAGAGTGAACAAATCTGGTTTGGAAAAAATACAGCCGGAATGCTTCTTGGAAGCAAGGATGGTGAGACTTCATCTCACACACTTTGGACATATTATCAGGAGGGACCAGTCCCTGGAGAAGGACATCATGCTTGGTAAAGTAGAGGATCAGCGAAAAAGAGGATGACCCTTGACAAGATGGATTGATACGGTGGTTACAACAATGGCCTCAAACATAGCAACAATTGTGAGGATGGCGCAGGATCAGGCAGTCTTTCATTCTGTTGTACATAGGGTCACAGCCGACTCGACAGCACCTAACAACAACAACAATGACAAGAAATGTAACAAAATGTTTACCAAGTCAGTGTTTTTTACAATTGAGTGACATTGGTTACATTCGTCATGTTGTGCATCCGTCAACACTGTTTGCCAATTATTCCACAATCATTAACAGAAACTCAGTGCACCCTAAAGAATGACTCCCCATTTTCCCTCCCTTCTGCCTCTGGTAACCACTAATATACTTTGGTTATTTTACGTTTGACTATTTCATATAAGTGGGATCATACAATATTTGTCCTTTTGTGACTTATTTTAGTTAACAAAATGTTTTCAAGGTTCATCCATGTTGTAGCATATATCAGGAGTTCCTTTCTCTTTATTGCAGAGTAATAGTGCCATTATAATTGTGCTCATGGGGAACCTGTACACGGACCAAGAGGCAGTAATTCGAACAGAATATGGGGATACTATGTGGCTTAAAGTCAGGAAAGGTGTGTTTCAAGGTTGTATCCTTTCACCATGCTTAGTCTGTATGCTGAGCAAATAATCCGAGAAGCTGGACAGTATGAAGAAGAACATGGCATACAGATTGGAGGAAGACTCATTAACAACCTGCGATATGCAGATGGCACAACCTTGCTTGCTGAAAGTGAAGAGAACTTGAAGCAGTTACTGACGAAGATGAAAAACCACAGCCTTCAGTATGGACTGTACCTCAACATAAAGAGAACAAAAATCCTCGCAACTGGACCAGTTGGCAACATCATGATAAACGGAGAAAAGATTGAAGTTGTCAAAGATTTCATTTTACTTGGATCCATAATCAGTGCCCAAGGAAGCAGCAGCCAGGAAGTCAAACAGCGTATTGCATTGGGCAAGTCTGCTGCAAAAGACCTGTTTTTAGAGTATTAAAAAGCAAAGATGTCACTTTGAGAACTAAGGTGCACCTGACCCAAGCCATGGTATTTTCAGTTGCCTCGTATGCATGCGAAAGTTGGACAATGAATAAGGAAGACTGAAGAAGAATTGACGCCTTTGAATTATGGTGTTGGCGAAGATTATCGACTCTATCATGGACTGCCAAAAGAATGAACAAATCTGTCTTGGAAGAAGTACAGCCAGAGTGCTCCTTAGAAGCACAGATGGTGAGACGTCATCTCAGGTACTTTGGACATGTTATCAGGAGGGACCATTCCTCGGAGAAGGACGTCGTGCTTGGTAGAGGGTCAGAGAAAAGGAGGAAGACCCTGCTTTGGACACAGTGGGTACAGCAGTGGGCTCAAGCGTAACAACATTCGTGAGGATGGCACAGGACTGGGCAGTGTTTCATTCTGTTGTACATAGGGTTGCTATGAGTTGGAAGCAACTCGATGGCACCTAACAACAGCAATATGCCATTGTATGGATATACCACATTTTGTTTATCCACCCGTCTGTTGATGTAGACTTGGGTTGTTTCCATTCCTTGGCTATTGTGAATAGTGCTGCAGTGAACAATGGTGTACAGGTTTCTGTTTGTGCCCCTGCTCTCAAGTCTTCTGTTTTCTCTTAGTGCCCCTGACAACCCATAAAGACTGTTGGTGTTTTTTATTGACAACATTTAAGTGTTATGGTTTGACCTTGGTAGTAACGTGTACCTTTGACAGCACTGTTACACCTTTCAGCCGCTAGTAGAATTATCATTCCTGTTAGTCTTTACAACTGAAGCAACAATCTACTCCCCAAAACACTACTGTATGTTTTTGATTTAGAGTTTATTTTAACTAATAAATGCATTAAACAATGATTAGAAACATTCATATTCTTTGAAAAATAATCTTGTTTCTTCTGGATGGAAACCCAGACTGGTTGTGGGGTGTGGGACTGAAACGGCAATTCACAAGTTGATGGTGCTTGGACTGCCACCACAGGACTCTGTCCTGGCCATGTGGATTCGTATGAGACGTAGCACATTTACAACGTGACGAAGTTGGCAGGGGTATTTAGTAAGCTTGTTCGTAGAAGGAGAATTAAAGTGTAATCCTGATCAGTTAGAACCATGGGGAGAAACAGGATAAAATTTAATATATAAAGTCTCATAGTTATGATAAAAAATGTCAGTGGCATAACCAAAGACCTAACAAGAGCTCCGTGTGGCCTGACCGTCCAGAGAAGCCTCTGTGTTCTGCCTGCACCACCCAGTTTACACCTGTGGGGCCCTTCACTGGTGCTTGGCTGTCCTGCTGCAAGGGGGCAGAGAGGGTTTTTCCTTCTCTCCCTGCTGCAGTTATACCTAGAGCTCCTTGTGAGCGGGGACAGTGTACTATAGACTGGTCAGTTTAATTCAGCAAACATTTATTGAATACTTACTTTGTGTAGGGAACTGGGCAAAAAGTCCAAGGACTCCGAGGCAGGGAGTGGCTGAGTGTCCACTCTGGGCCCCTCTGTCCTTTGGCTGTGTGCCCGTTCTGTTGTTTAATCCTCATGGGAACCTCTGACGTGGTGAGGAGGGAGGTGCAGCTGGGAGGTATGACCTTCCCAAGGTCAGAATTTGAACCTTCGTGTGTCTGACTCCATAACCCAGCCTCTTTTCACCAAAGCATGGAGGCCACTTCCACAAGTGCCGCTCTGTTCTCCTTTGGAAATAAAACTCTTTAGTTAAACTAGGAATGCTTTTTTAAATCAGGTAGAACAGATAAGGGTGATAGTTGAACAACATGATGAACATAATTAATGTTACAGAACTGTACGTGTCAAGATTATTGAAATGGCACATTTTGTTACCTGTATGTTTACCACAATTAAAAAAAGGAGGAAAGCAGGTAGAAAGCCACCATTGGGAGGCAGGGCAGAGAGTGGAGGAGGGAACTTCATTTGGGGGTTCTGTGCTGTCTCCTGAGCAGGTGCCTGCTCAGATGGGGTGGCAGGGACTGAAGCGCTTTGCTGGGAAGGGAGGGAGTAGGCAGGGCAGAGAGCTTTCCCTCTTGGTGTACCCTCAACCACCCCTGCCGCTTGCTTCTCTCACCCCATGGGTTGGCTGGGAAACTGAGGGCAAGGCAGGGAGGGAATTGGAAAATGCTTTGTTATGGATTGCATTGTGTACCCTAAAAGATGAATTGAAGCAGTAAACCCTGTGTTTCCTCACTCCCTCCTTCCTTCCATCCACAGTATTCACTGGGTGCCTCCTGTGTGCCAGGTAGCTTCCAGATGCTTGGAATACAACAGAGAAAAACACGGACATCAGTCCCTGATCTCATGGAGCATATGTCCTAGTGGGGACAGACAGACAAGAAACATAACGAGAAGTATATAGTATGTGAATAGGTGATCCATGCAGTGAAGAATAGAGCAGGGCAAGGGGACCAGGCTGGGGGGTGACTATTACAGTAGGTAGTTAGAGTGAGCCTTACTGAGGTGGGAGTTGAACCAAGGGCGGCTGGTGAGGGGGTTATGTGCCAGGTGGAGGGCACAGCCAGCACAAAGGACTTAAGGTGGGAGATGTTTGGTGCATTTAAGCAACAGCAATAGAGGCCAGAGCAGCTGGAGTGGAGCAAGCCAGGGGGAGAGGAGGGTGAAGTGCCGGATTGTGTAGGGCCCGAGAGGCCCCGAAAGGACTTTAGACCATTGCAGGGTTTGAGCAGACAAGTGACATGACCTGACTATTTCAGAAGGCTCACGCTGGCTGCTGTGTTGAGACTAGACTGTCGGGTACCAGGGAGGAGCAGGAGGCCCTTATGGCAATCCAGGGGAGAAGATGGGGGCTTGAACCAGGGTGGTAGCAGAGGACACTGGAGCAGTATTCAGTGATGTGCATGATTTAAAGGTGGCATCAGCAGGATTGGCTGTTGGATCTGGAGAAGGAACACATTCATATGTGGATGGGGTTGACTCAGCAGGGAGGGAAGAATTCTGGAGTGTATCTTTGTGCTGGGGGGATGGGGCCCTGTGCCTGGTGGAGGGCTGTCTTTAGAGAGAAGCCTCGGTGGCCCGTGCCACTAGAGAGGTGGAGGCAGAGCTTACCTTGCCGTGCCGGATGTGGGGCCGTGGGGATGTTGGGCTGTGGGGCCGGTCCACGGGGAGCTGCTGCTGGTGGCTGTGGTCTCTGGTCCCTGAAGCAGGAAGCAAGTCCGTTGTCTGGGTGAGAAGGCTGGTAGTCGGAGGTGAGCAAGGTACGAAGTGTCCACACTGCTGCCTCCCTCTCAGTTGGACGTTGATGGCTGTGCAGCCTCTGGACAAATAAATGCCGTGTGTCTTGGTCGCGTAGGGCTGCTGTAACAAAGTAGCACGGAGTAGGAGGCTTTAAAGAACAGAAATGTGTTGTGTGCAAGGCCAGATCAGGGCATTGGCTGTGTAAATTCCTTCTGACAGCTCAGAGAGAAACTGTTGTAGCTTCTTGTGGCTTCTCCCAATCTTTGGTGTTCCTTGGCTGGCATGTACCTCTGTAGTCATGTGGGTGTCCTTCCTCTGTCTGTTTCTGTCCCCATGTCTGTTCTTGTTTATAAGACCACTCAGATGGGGTAGGGCCCACCTGCTCCCGTATGACCTCTTGTTAACTGATAACGTCTTCAGAGACCCTGGATCAAGGTCACATTCGCAGGTACCAGGGGTTAGGACTTTCACATGTCTTTTTGGGGAATACGGTTCAATCTGTGATACAGGGTTGTGTAAGTTGGAAGGTGCCAGGAGGTTTGGCCTGCTGTGAGGCGTTGTGAGATGCTGGATGGGTGACAGAGGAGTGCAGGTACCCTGGAGGACTGCAGGAGTCTGGGTGCTCCAGGTGACCAGTGCCTGTTGAGCTGATCACTGAATCAGGCCCAAGGCCTGGCACTCGCCAGAGTGGTATTTTCATATTTATTTGGTGTATGACCTTTTCTGATGTCCTAGAGGATTTTTTTTCTTAACCTTTGTGTTTCTGGCAACTAAGGATGTTAATAGAGTATTTTTTATAGACAAATTACTATAATTGCATTATTTTACAGTTTTAAAGAACCTCCTTTCTTGCTTGGTGTTTTGAATCCAAATACAAAGTTGCAACAAGCCAAAAGGCTGTATGAAAATCAACTTATTGGGCCAGAGTCGATAGCACATATTGGAGGTAAGTATACCCTGGGCCTGCAGAGTCTGATGTTGTGGGGCCCTTGAGGCTGTCTGCTGCTGTAAGGGGTGGATTCTATGGGAATAGCCCATAATGGCAGCTGCTGCCCGGGGTGGGGGGCTCTGGACATCCTCCTTAGCTCCACTGAGGGGGAACCTAGACATCCTTCTTAGCTCCTCCAGGGATGGAGGGGAGGCCTGGATAGTATTTTTCACTCTACAGTGGGTGGGCGGGACCTGGACATCCTTCTTGGCTCCAGGCGTGGTGCTTGTCAAGCAGGCCGCCCCACAGGAGTGTACTCACTGGCTCTCTGGGCGCTTGCCTCTCAGAGTTGCTGTGCCACTCTAGCACCAGGTGATTTTGAGTTCATCTCTATGGCACACTTCCTTCTGTTGGAAGTGTTGGACTCATTAAAATGAAAGGAAAAAGGCAGAATGCAGACACTGGTGATTGATTCATTTATCAAAGTTTGTCAGTAGGTGTTACTCGGCAAATGTTATTGCTCAGCTGTTTGTCTTTGTGTAGATTTCATTCATCTTCATAAGATAAGTGGTTCACAAGCTTCCCACTGTTGGTTGGTTGTAAAGCTCACTTTGGTCGCTGCATGTAAGGGTATGTTCAGGGTAACTCTTTTTCACACTTCACACCGAGAGCTAGAATTGGGTCTGGTTCTAATAAGCAGAGCATTTTCTACCTGTTAAAATAGGAATTAAGCTTAGAAATTAAAAAAATAAAGTTAATGAAAATGTTTTCAGACTTAAAATGGTGTGAGGATTTATGAGCAACTTAACTTTGGCATGTCCCTCATTCTGAAATACCATTATCAGCGATATGGCTGTGGATCTAAGTATTCAGTTTTCATATACAAGTGGTCCCCGATGATGAATTTGCATTATGACAAACCACAGATCTTATCCTTAGTAATATATACTACATACAATGTTAAAATTCACCTGTAAGTTTATATGTGATGTTTCCAACCCCCAAAGACTATAAATAAAGGTTGGATTTATAAAGATACCAATAATAAAAAGCAATAATAATGAAAACTAGAAAAAAGGTGTTTGACTTACATAAGAACCGATTCAGGGCGAAGCTGTTGAAAAGGAGCACTGTCATAAGTCGGGGTCTACCTGTATTGCTTTTTAAAGGCAGGTCAATAGCCGTCCCTCTACTTGTATTTGACTACCTTCTGTTCCCAGCCCCTGCTGTTTGACACGGGACCCAAAGGCCAGCACATCTCTGTAGATTTTTTGTTGCTGTTATGTTTCAAGAGAGATAGTACTTCATGATGTAGGGTGTTTATTGACAGAACTTTCAATTTTACTTAAAAAAAAAAAAGGACATTATATTAGTAAACTATATAAATTTTGTTTTCTTGGTGAGAAATCAAATATTGACATTTTAACAGTGGAACATATAGGAGTCAAGTGCACTCAGTGTTCCGTTCTTTGCCTCTCAAAGAGAGCACTTGTCCCTTCCCACTTGGCCTGACCTCTCATTGTACTTCTTCACCAGCTCTCGCCTTTTTCTCTTTCCCCACACTGAAGGAGCTGGTTGTCCTCTCGATGGCATTTCTGATTAGGCATCATGGGGTTTCTTGGGTTACTCTTCTGTGAGTGTGACCCGCAGGGTTTTCCAAGGCCTGCTGCTGGCAGAGTTGTTTGGACATTGTCATGGTGGGTGGCTGGTGTGATGCTGCCAGTGGAGGGAGGTACTAGCCTCAAAGGAAAGCGCGTGGGGAGAATAATTGTGCTTTAATTTTATCCTGAAGGACTTCCTAATTGGGTATAACTAACATTAGCAGCAGACACTGACGTGCAGCCGACATGAACGCATGCCCTGGCCTCTGAGTGGCAGGGTGGGAGCCGTGCTCTCTCTGGAGAGTGGGCCATCCCCCTAGTTTCCTGATACAGGCTGAGGCTACTGCACCCTTGTTCTGCAGTGAGGCTCCAGCCCACACACCAATCCTTTGGCCTCACAGGCATGTCGCCGCAAGGCATTAGAGTTTTATTTCCAGCACGCTTCTCCTTCATCCTCAAGACTGCTGTTTCCTCTCTGGACACAAAAGCATGAGCTAGCCGCCTCTGTTGTAGAAGAGTGATGTGGTCACGGTTCTGTCAGCTATTGCTGTAATGCTCTTATCCTTTTGATTTTTTAAACAGATGCCATGTTTACTGGTACAGCAGATGGCCGGGTTGTGAAGCTTGAAAATGGTGAGGTAGAGACGATTGCCCGATTCGGCGCTGGCCCATGCAGTAAGTCAGTGACACACCCAGGACTTACATCTCCTTCCGTCATGCGGATAGCCCCCTGGGACAGACAGGACCCCTGACTTTTGGACAGATAGGGCATGACCCAGGGTCCGGGCCACACAGGTGCCTGCTCCTCACCCTGTGGTTGCAGCTTTCCACCGGTCAGGGTGTTGGTACCTGGCCATTAGTGCAGGTCCATGTTCACCCCTGTGGTGACTTGGAGAAGGTTACTGGGTGTTGACATCAGAGTGCTGCTGTAGAAAAGCAGTTGGCTCTGCCCTTAGTTGAATGCTTAAATGTGATTCCTGCATTAGCTTCTGAGGAATTTCACAGTGTCATTCAAGTGGACACTCCTTCAGTCACTCAGGTATTTAAAAACTAGAGTAGATGAATCTTACTTCTTAAAAACTGGTAGCCCACAGAGTTCTTTTTTATTTTATTTTATTGTGACAAAGCGTATACAACAAAAAGTTTGCTGTTTTAACATTTTTAAGTGTCTAGTTCAGTGACATTAATTACATTCGTTATGTTGTGCAACCATCCCCACTGTTTGCAGAAAGTTTTCATCACCCCAAACAGAAACTCAGCAGTAACCCTTAAGCAATAACTTTCTTTTCCTCCTTCCCCCCAGCACCTGGTAACCACTAATAAACCTCCATCTCTATGCCTTGCCTATTCTAGTTATTTCATATAAGTGTACTCCTACAATATTTGTCCTTTTGTGTCTGACTTTCTTCACTCAGCATAGTGTTTTCAGGGTTCATCCGTGTTGTAGCATGTATCAGAACTTCATTTTTCTTTATGACTGAATAATACTCCATCGTACGTATGTATGAGGAGCCTCGTGGTGCAGTAGTTAAGTGCTTGGCTGCTAAGCAAAAGGTTGGTAGTTCAAACCCATCAGCTGCTCCAGAAAGAAGTAACAGTCTTGGATTTACAACCTTGGAAACCCTGTGGGGGCAGTCCTACCCTGTCCTGTCGGGTTGCTGTGAGTCAGAATTGACTCGACGGCAGTGGGTTTGGTTTGGTTTTTGGTATGTATGTACCACGTTTTGTTTATCCATTCCTCTGGTGATGACCACAGACTTCTTATCAGCTATCATTTGTTAATAGCGGGAATGTTTTTGTAAAAATGCAGCAAACAGAAAGGTACAAAGAACAAAGCAAAAGTCACCTCAGAGTCCTCTCAGGTATAACTGCTGTTAATATTTTAGTGAGTAACTTCTCAGACCCCTTTCTGTTAATGGACACTCACACGTACCCACAGTTATATATAATGGAGAGAGATATGTATATGTTTCTTTTGTCCACACTGTAGTTTGGCAGTGAACACCTTCCAGTAAGCACCTGGCAGTACTCACTAAGCTCTTGGCAGTAAACATGCATTGCCACAGGGTTAAAAGAGCTTAGTAACCGAGCAGTAGATGAAGCTAAGGGGTAAGAACAGCTGTTCTTGATGTCTGGTGGAAAAAAGCAGTGTCCCTCTCTCAGCCCGCGTGGGCATTCAGGTCAGGCTGTTGGGCGTAAACTCCCAGTGGAGGTTCTGGGAGGATTCTGGGGTCGCTTCAGGGTCCTGATTTTATCCTTTGAGGTAGCTGTTTGATTCTCAGATGCTGATGTGAGCAGGCTCTCGGGCAGCAGTGCTATGCCCTATGCCTAGAGTTTTGGGAGTTCCCTCTGACAGTGAGTCGTCCTCAGAGGTTCTGCGGAGGCTGGAGTACTAGATGGGGGCAGTGCTAGTGCTAATGCCACAGTCTTTTTAGTTCTATAAGAGCATGTGTGATGTGTACTTACAAAGGGACAGGTGAGGTATTTGGACACTGAGGAGAGCATAGGTAGAGTCTTGGACCAGCAGTCGATTCCCGTCTCTTTGTTTTCGTAGAAACCCGGGATGACGAGCCTGCCTGTGGGAGACCTCTGGGCGTCCGGGCAGGGCCCAACGGGACCCTTTTTGTGGCTGATGCCTACAAGGGACTGTTTGAAGTAAATCCGTGGAAACGTATGTGACAACATCTGTTTTCTTCTGTGATGATTTCAGATCTTTTAAACAAAATGCATATACACAGATTTAATAGAATTTGTTAAAAATGCAGTCTGAATAGCAATGAGAGTATTCCCTACAAGTACTAGCTGGTAGTAAGCACCCTGTAACTCCTGGCCATAACAGCATGTGCTATTGCCCTGTTTTCCTCTGGCATTTGTGTTTTAGCCACAGGGGCTCAGATAGTCTCACTTTGGGATGTTCAGCCGTGAAGATTTGTCCTTCTATCTTTACTTTTTTGTTTGTCTTTTCCTGTTTCCTTCCCCTTTGTCTCTGTCTTTCTGCATTTTTCCTTTTCTCTAGTTCCTCCTGCCATTTCTGTCCCCTAGCTGGCCGTGTCATCTTGAGCCAGTGTTATATGTGCTTTAGGTGCTTTATCGGATGGAGGCTCATGCTACAAGAGAGTCCAGTGTCGTGAGTGGTAGCACAGGGGCCTGAGCTCAGGCTCTGCAGACCGCCCACCTCAGGTAGGCCTCAGCTCTGCTGTCTGCTGGTTCTGTGACGATGCCCATTACGCAGCCTCCGCTCATCACATAGGCAGAATAATAGTGCTTACCTCATAGGAAGGTTTAAAGATTTCGAGGTCAGAGCTTAACCCATTAAACCCATTGCCATCGGGTAAATTCCAACTCATAGTGACCGTATACAACAGAGTACTAGAAGTGCCCCATGGGGTTTCCAAGGTTCTAATCTTTACGGAAGCAGGCTGCAACATCTTTCTCTCAAGGAGCTGCTGGTGGCTTCAAATCACTGACCTTTTGGTTAGCAGCTGGATGCTTAACCACTGTGCAGCCATGGCTTCTGGAGACAGTTTAGCACTCAATAAATATTTGGTTGTATTAGTTTTAAAAACTTGCTACTACTACTAGTAGTAGTACTTGTTATTGTTGTTAGGTGCCATCAGGTTGGCTCGGACTCATAGCGACCTTGTGTATAACAGAAGGAAATGTTGCCTGGACCTAGGAAATCCTCACAGTCATTTGTGTGTTTGAGCCTGGTGTTGCAGCCACTGTGTCAGTCCCTGTCATTGAAGGTCTGCCTCTTTCTTGCTGACCCTCTACTTTGCTGTCTTTTCTCCAGTGATTGATCCCTCCTGATGACATATCCAGAGTAAGCGAGATGAAGTCATACCATCCTCACATCTAAGGAGCATTCTGGCTGTACTTCCTCCAAGACAGATATGTTAGTTCTTCTTACAATCCATGGCATATTCAGTGTTTGTCACCAGTGCCACAGTCCGAAGGTGTCAGTTCTTCAGTGTTCCTTTTTTGTTGTCCAGCTTTCACATGCATCTGAGGCGATTGAAAATACCATGGCTTGGGTCAGACACACCTTAGTCATCCAAGTGATGCCTTTGCTTTTTAACACTTCCAAGAGGTCTTTTGCAGCACATTTGCCCAATGCAATATGTCATTTGATTTCTTGACTGCTGCTTCTAAGGACATTGATTGTTGATCCAGGAAGAAAGAATTTCTTGACAAATTTAGTTTCTTTCTCATTTATCATGGTGTTATTTATTGGTCCAGTTGTAAGGATTTTTGTTTTCTTTATGTTCAGAAGTAATCCATACTGAAGACTGTTCTCTTTTACCTTCATCAGTAAGTGCTTCAAGTCGTCTTCCCTTTTGGCAAGTGTCATGGTTTGAATTATGTCCCCCCCAAAAATGTGTGTACCAGTTTGGCTGGGCCATGATTCCTGGTACTGTGTGATTTTCCGGTATGTTGTAAACCTGCCTCTATGATGTTAATGAGGGAGGATGGGTGGCAGTTGTGTTAGTAAGGCAGGACCTGATCTACAAGACTGGATTGTGTCCTGAGGCAATGTCTTGAGATATAAAAGAAGTAAGCAGAGACAGGGGGACCTCACACAATCAAGAAAGCAGTGCCGGGAGCAGAGCACATCCTTTGGACCGGGGTCCCTGCACAGAGAAGCTCCTAGTCTTGGGGAACAGCGAAGAGGAGAAGGCTGACAGAAAAAGCCTTCCCCTAGAGCTGACGTCATTCAGTTTTTTACCCAAAAAAATCCTTCAGTATTGCAACTCGAGGCTTGGATTTTCTCTTCAGTTCTTTCAGCTTAAGAAATGCCAATTGTATTCTTTTCCCTTTTGGTTTTCTAACTCCAGGTCTTTGCACATTTCATTATAATACTTCATCTTGTCTTCTCGAGCTGCCCTTTGAAATCTGTTCAGCTTTTACTCCATCATTTCTTCTGTTTGCTGTAGCTACTCTGTGCTTAAGAGCAAGTTTCAGAGTCTCTTCTGGCATACATTTTGGTCTTTCTCCCCTATCTTTTTAATGACCTTTCATTTTCTTCTTGTATAATGTCCTTGATGTCATCCTTCAACTCTTCGGTCTTTGGTCATTATTGTTCAGTGTGTCAGATCTATTCTTGAGATGGTCTTTAAATTCATGTGGGATATACTCAGGGTCATACTTTGGCTCTTGTAGACTTGCTTTGATTTTCTTTTGCTTCAGTTTGAACTTGCATGTGAGCGCTTGATGATCTGCAGTCGGCCCCTGGCTTTGTCTTGACTGATAATATTGAGGTTCTCCATCTTCTTTCCACAGATATAGTCGATTTGATTCCTGTGTAAGCCATCCGGTGAGGTCCATGTGTATAGTCATCATTTGTGTTGTTGAAGAAAACTATTTCCGATCAATAATTCATTGGTCTTGCAGAATTCTGCCATGCGATCTTCAACATCATTCCTATCACCAAGGCTCTATTTTGCAGCTACTGATGCTTCTTCTTGGTTCCCACCTTTCACGTTCCAATTATTATCACATTCTGTAGTTATCAGTGCACCTTGATTGCATGTTTGATCAATTTCAGACTACAGCAGATTGTAAAAGTCTTCAATTTCTTTATCTTCCACATTTGTGGTTAATATGTAAATTTGAATAATAATTATATTAACTAGTTGACAGCATTGTACTTCAGGATAGATCTTGAAATATTCTTTTTGACAACGAGTGCCAGTGCCATTCCTCCTCAATTTGTTGTTCCCGCGGTAGTAGACGGTATGCTTGTTGGATTCAGAATGGCCAGTACCAGTCCATTTCAACTCACTAATGCCTGGGATATTGATCTTCAAGCATTCCATTTCATTTTTGACAACTTCCAATTTTTGTTGATTCATACTTCGTACCTTCCATGTTCTGATTATCAGTGGATGTTTACAGCTGTTCCCTTTCATTTTGAGTCATTCCACATCAGCAAATGAAGATCCACAAGGTTTTATTCCATCCATGTCATTAAGGCCAACTCTACTCTGAGGAGGTAGCTCTTTCCCAGTCACAATTTGAGCGCTTTCCAAGCTGAGGGGCTCATCTTCCAGCACTATATTGGACAGTGTTCTGTTGTTACCTATAAGGTTTCATTGGCTAATTTCCACCACCCGTCCGTTAGTGTGTTGTTCTGTAGTGGCTTGTGTGTTACTATGATGCTGGAAGCTATGCTGCCGGTATTTCAAATACCAGTAGGGTCACCCGTGGTGGACAGGTTTCAGTGGAGCTTCCAGACTAAAACCAGGAAAAAGGCCTGGCAATCTACTTCTGAAAATTAACCAATGAAAACTTCATGGCTAACAACAATTACTACTACTACTTTATTTAAAAAGTAGATAAGTGGGACATTTTATGTTTCTCTCAAGCAAACAAATAGAACTAAATTGCCTTTTACCGAGTCACTCTAATAGTTTTTTAAGTCAGCTGGCCTCAGTAGAAGAAAAGTTCCGCATCCTTAGAAGAAACATTCTGCCTTTAATGAAGTTAGTCTAAACAAATTTGTCACTTAACAGATAATACACTATTTTTTACTGTAAGGAGGAATGACAAATGACATGGAGAAGCTGTTCATGGCTTTTCTTTTTAAGCCAATTATGCTTATTAATATTTTGAAATTATTGAAAAACAAGTTCTTAAAATGAAAGCAAGACTTTTTTATTTCTTTTTTAAAACTCAGGTGAAGTGAAAATGCTGTTGTCTTCCGAGACACCAATTGAGGGAAAGAAAATTTCCTTTGTAAATGATCTTACAATAACTCGAGATGGGAGGAAAATTTATTTTACGGATTCTAGCAGCAAATGGCAAAGACGAGATTATCTGCTTTTGATTATGGAGGGAACGGATGATGGACGGTAAGTATATATTTCAGGTGTTTTACTCAGTTAAATAATCAGCCCGGCAGGCTAACTTCAGCAGAATTTGTTACTTTCCGGAGATCCTTGGAGTGTTTCTTCAGATAGGACCTTAAAGACTTCTGGGAACAGGCGACAGGAAACAAACAGAGCGAGATATTCTGCTTGCTTTCTCTTTTGAAGACGTCTAAAATTAAAATAGGATTCGTGGTAAATATTTTCCCCCATGTGATGGTTATCTCCTTTAAGGTTTTCATATTAATGGCTTATCTAGTGAGTAAACCAACACTGTAGTTGCCCCCGTTCTAGGAGGTTAAACTTCTGTATGTGTGGTGTTTGCTGCTTCATTCAGACTGGTTTGGTTTGCCTGGGGAAGAGGGGCCTGCTAATGAAGCCTTGTAGCCTTGGGGCAGCCTCACAGGAGGCTGGATGGGAATTTAGTGTCGGGATGTGCAGGAAGGAGGGATACAGCAGATTCTTGGTGCTCTAGACTAGAGTATGCCAGAATCCCCAGGATCCTGACTGCCTTCCATCTCTCTCTGCTCCAGTCTGCTCTGCTTGAGGTGGACCTGTGAGGCTGGGCACAGAGAGGGTATGGAAGTCTGAACTGAAGAAGTTGGGTGGTCAGAGCACGGTGTGCCTGTGGATTTGATGAAACATTGGCTTTTCTCCCAGGAACCATGTCTATGACAGATGTGGCTGGCCATGCAGGATGTGGCTGGCCAGGTGTGCCAGGCTAGCTTCCTTCTTCACAGCCGACAGTCCTTGTGTGGAAAGACGTCTCCTCTGAGAGACCAGGTTTGAAACTGTTCAAAGAGGTGCACAGTGGCAGGTGCCTGGAGCCAGTTGTCCTTGTTTGCGACTGTTTAAACAGCCTCGCCTGCTGAGAGACGCTAGTATCCACTTTGGGACAGACTTGTCGTCGTTCCTGCCACCTCTGAAGCTCACTGTGCTTGAGCCACATTGACTCCAGCTGCTGCAGGCAGGACTGTCAGGCTCACCACAAGCAGAGAGGCCCACTACCCCTAGTCATGGGGAGCTCAAGGGAGGGCTCACATGGTCCAAAGGGGGAAGAGTGGAGAGATGAGCCCATTCAATAAAACTACTGCCAGGAGGTGGTATGCCAGCCCCACAGGAGGTGCGTGCTGACGGGGCCGGGGGCGTGTAACCCTTTCCTGGTGTTTCCGAGGCAGCCTGGCTACTAGCGGCCCAATGCAGCTGTGGTTCTTGGCAGTCTGTGAGAGACCTTGCAACAGGCTGGCTTCAGGAGGATCCTCTTGGGGGCTCCTGTGAGGCTGGAGCCATGGACGCCCTCCCTGGTGCACAGCCAACCCCTCAGATGAGCAAGACAGCTGACTGTGTAGGGTGCTGAGGTCTGCCCTGGATGGGGAGGGCACTCCAGGGGTCATCCATTACCCGAGTATGAGGCTGAATCACCTGAAGGCCCAGAAGGGGAGCAAAGCCCCAGACTAGTGGGAGGCCATGGGGTCTCCACGTTGCTGACCCTCCACTTTTGTTGTTCCCCAGCCTGCTGGAGTATGACACTGTGACCAAGGAAGTGAAAGTCTTAATGGACCAGTTGCGGTTTCCTAATGGAGTCCAGCTTTCTCCGGCAGAGGACTTCGTTCTGGTGGCAGAAACGACCATGGCAAGGATCAGAAGGTACATGCGGTGTTAGCAGAGCTGCTGGCTGCTTGCAGAGCTGGGTCTGCCCCAGGTGGGTGGGAATGAATGCTGGCTGACAGAGCCTGGGATGCAGCAGGCCCCTCCTGCTCATGCAGTCAGGGATGTGTGTTCTCTCTCCCACCTCTGAGCGTCTCTGAGCTTGGTGGTCTGTGAGTGCTGCTTGGCCTAATGCTGGAGGTGGCATCCCACCCCAAGTGCTCCCAGGGCCCTTCTCTGCTCCAGTTGGCCCTCCTTGCGAGGGCCTCCTTTTGTAAGCTGTGCCTTCCTAAACTTTATCTGGACTAATAACAGCCTCGTGCTTGGCTAAAACTTTTTCCTTAAATTGAGGGCTACTGCTGAATGCATACTTGGGTGAATTTTTCAGATTCTATGTGTCTGGTCTGATGAAGGGAGGGGCAGATATGTTCGTGGAGAACTTGCCTGGATTTCCAGACAACATTCGGCCCAGCAGCTCCGGGGGATACTGGGTCGGCATGGCGACGATCCGTTCTAACCCTGGGTGTTCCATGTTGGATTTCTTATCCGAGAGACCCTGGATTAAGAAAATAATTTTTAAGGTAACTAAAAACTACAATTTCAAAAACAAAATGAAAATGCATCTAATTATGATCTCTTTTGACATTTCTAGCCCTAAAAAATTCTAGTTCTTCTTATGTTATTACTTTTGTTTTTTTTTTATTTTATTTTTGGTGAAAATATACACAGCAAACCCACTCTAATTCCACAGTTTATAGACATAATGGTCAGTGACATTGGTTACATTCTTCACATTGTGTCAACATTCTCGTTATTTCTTGTTCTAGTTGTTTTATTTCCATTTACTTAATCTCCCAGCCCCCTCAATTTTCTAAATCTGTGTTTTAAAATAGCTATTGATCCTTTGATCTTATACAGATAATTTTTTTTCTTTTTTTTAGGTAACGCAATATCCACAGTGGTAATCTTTTTTTTCCCTAAATTTTATTTGTTTTGTTGTTGAGAATATACACAGCAAAACATAACACCAATTCAAGTTTCTGCATGTACAATTTAGTGACACTAATTACTTTCAAGTCGTGCAGCTATTCTCCCTTTTCTCTGTTATTCCTCCCTCATTAACATAAACTCACTGCCCCCTAAAGTTGCTATCTGATCTTTTGGGTTGCTGTTGTTAATTTGATGCTATGTGGAAAGTTCTTAAAAGAGTGTAATGCTCGAGGCAGACCTTTTTATTTTACTAGTTAGGCTAAACTGTTGTTTGATTTTCACATAACTTCAGTATATATTTTTGGTTTAAGGTTTAAAGATTATCTCACCAGTAGTTTCAGGGGTTTGTCCATCCTCCATGGCTCTAGAAAGTCTAGAGTCCATGAGAATTTGAAATTCTGTTCTGCATTTTCCCCCTTTTAATCTGGACTCTTCTGTGGAATGAATCTTTGATCAAAATGTTCAGTAATGGTAGCTGGGCACCATCCAGTTCTTCTGGTCTCCTGGCAAAGGAGGCAGTTGTTCATGGAAGCAATTAGCCACACATTCCACATATTCCATATCCTCCTCCTATTCCTGACTCTCCTTCTTCCTCTATTACTCCAGGTGAATACAGACCAATTGTTGTGCCTTGGATGGCTGCTTGTAAGCTTTTAAGACCCCAGGCACTACACAGCAAATTAGGTAGAACAGAAGCACTAAACATACTATTAGGCTGGTTAACTGGGATGTCCCATGAAACCATGACCCTAAACCTCCAATCCAAGGAACCAAATCCCATGAGATGTTTGGTTGTACATAAGCAGCCTCAGCACCTACTCTTTTCTTTGGTTGTTGTAAATATGTCTATCACACAACTTTTGCCAATTCAGTTTTTTACAGGTGTACAACTCACAGCAATTACAGTAATCAGCTATGCAACCCTACCTTAATCAGTGTAATTTTTTTCATCACAGTTGACCCTCCTTTTCCCCTCCCTCCCACCCCTGGTAACCATTAATAAACTTTGTTCTCTATACATTTGCCTTTTCTTGTCTTTTTATATAAGTGAGGTCATGCAACGTTTGTCCTTTTGTGATTGGCTTATTCTGCTCAGCATAATATCTTCAAGCTGCATCCAGACTGTAGCATGTATCAAGACTTCATTTCTCCTGCTGGCTGAGTAGTACTCTATTGTATGTATGTACCACATTTTGTCTATCCGGTCATCTGTTGATGGGCACGTAGGTTGTTTCTATCTTCTTGCTATTGTAAATAATGCTGCAATGAACATAGGTGTACATATGTCTGTTCGTGTCACTTATATTAGATCCCTAGGGTGTATACCTAGGAGTGGAATTGCTGGGTCATATGCCTCTACCTCTAGTTTTCTGAGGAACCACCAGATTGTTTTCCATAATGGCTGTATCATTTTGCATTCCCACCAGCAGTGAATGAGGGTACCAATTTCTCCACATCCCCTCCAACACTTGTTATTTCCTGTTTTTTTTTTTAATCTTATCCACCTTAGTGGGAGTGAGTTTTGATTTTCACTTTTCTGATGGGTAATGATGTTGAACATGTTTTCATGTGTCTGTTTGACCATTTGATTATCCTCTTTTGGTGAAGTGTCTGTTGATGTCCTTTGCTCAGTTTTTGATTGGGTTTTTGTCTTTTTGTTGTTAAGTTGTAGAAGTTTTATATGCAGACAGTGCCCAGATTACGAACAAGTTCCGTTCCTAAGGCTGTCTTTAAATTGAGTTTGTACGTAAGTCAAAACAGTTAGGTACAGTTCGTATCTAATGCCAGTTAATCAGATGTTTGTCTTAGTATATAGTGTACCTTTGTATGCATAAAAAGCATTAAAGAAACACTTCCAGATATACTAAATCATCTTTAACATAATAATACAATAATAATAATATTTTTATGCACATCACAACCTAGTGCCCATTGGTTATTACAAACCATTGTATGTACTTTGAATTTTTAATACAGTAGGTTTTATGAGAATTGGTTCATAACTATGAGTTGTATAGTTGTATATGAGTTGGATGTTTGTAACCCGGGGACTACCTATATATTTTAAGTAGTAGTCCCTTGTCAGTTATCCCAAAGATTTTTTTCCAGTCTAGGTTGTATCTTTACTCTTTCGATAAAGTCTTTTGATGACCATAAATATTTAACTTTCACGAGGTCCCAGTTATCGGATTTGTTTTCTGTTGCTCATGTATTCATTGTTGTGTTTGATAATTTGTTGTTGAAATAAGTTCAGCCCCAACACTTTGCTCCTATATTTTCTTCCAAGAACTTTAGACTTTTAGATTTAACATTTAGGTCCTTGATCCATTTTAAATTAGTTTTTGTGTATGGTGTGAGGTTTGGATCTTGTTTCATTTTTCTGCATGTAGAAATCCAGTTTTGCCAGCACCATTTATTGAAGAGACTGCCCCTTCCCCATTGGATGGATCCGGCTCCCTTGTCGAAAGTTAATTGGCCATGAATGTTTGGATTTATTTCCGGGTTTTCAGTTCTATTCCATTGGTCTGTGTGTCTGTTGTTAAACCAGTGCCAGGCTGTTTTGATTACTGTAGCTGTGTAATATGTTCTAAAGTCAGGAGATGTGAGGCTGCCTACTTTGTTCTTCTTCAAAATTGCTTCGACTATTTGGAATCTCATGTATGTAGATTAAAACATGTGAACCCTTTTGAGCTCTAATTTCCCTGTTTCTGGGACAGTAATGTTCTTATTGTTGATCTTTTGGTGCCTCCACCCTGCCAGTCTCCCCCCTCTGTGGTAGTTGTTTCAAACACTCCCCTTTCCTTGAGGTCCTTGGCTGCCCCGCACCCAGTGGAGGATGCTGCCTCCTCCTTCATAGAGAAAGGAGTCATCAGGTGGATCGTTCTATTCTTTCTGCGGCCACACAGAGAAACCTACTTACCCTGGCCTTCTTTCCACCCTCCTCCCTCCTGCCTTCTTGGAACCTCGCTGTCAGTCATCCCTCTCCATGAGATCCTGCACTTTGACCTCTAACCCTTCAAACTCTTTTCCACTAAAAACATCTCCACCATGATCATCCATAGTCGCCTCCACCACAGCCTGTTTCTCTCTTCCTGATCACAGGCAAACGTCCATCAGACATCCTCTTGCCGGCTGACCCCTTCCCTCCCATGCCCCAGCCAACCTGCTATGGCTTCTGCCCTGTTGTGTCACCAAAATAGTTCCCTGAAGAATACTGAATATACTATGGACTGCCAAAAGAACGAACAATCTGTCTTGGAAGAAGTACAGCTGGAATGCTCCTTAGAAGCGAGGTTGGCGAGACTTTGTCTCATGTACTTTGGACATGTTATCAAGAGGGATCAGTCCCTGGAGAAGGACATCATGCTTGGTAAAGTAGAAGGTCAGAGAAAAAGAAGAAGACCCTCAAGAGATGGACTGACACAGTGGCTGCAACAGTGGGCTCAAGCATAACAACCATCATGAGGATAGCGCAGGACTGGGCAGTATCTTCGTTCTGTTGTCCATAGGTTTGCAGTGAGTTGTAAGCGGATAGATGGCACCTAACAACAACAATGACATATAACACTGAGCATCTTTTCTGTTTTTTTTTTTTTCATCTGTATATCTGCTTGGTGAGGTGTTTGTTCAGATCTTTTGCTCATTTTGTAATTGGGTTGTTTTCTTCTTATTGTTGAAGTTTGAGAGTTTTTCGTACAGTTTGGATACAAGTCCTTTATCAGAGATGTGCTTTGCAAATATTTTCTCCCAGTCTGTTATTTGTCTTTTCATTTTCTGAAGTACCTTTTACAGGGTAAAAGTTTTCTAGGTTTAATGAAATCCAACATATCAGGTTTTTTTCTTTCATGGATAGGGTTTTTGTGTTGTATATAAAAAGTTACAGCCAAACTCCGGGTCATCTAGACTTTTTCCTCAGTTATCTTTTAGAAGTTGTATAACTTTGTGTTTTACATTTAAGTCTGTGATTCATTTTGGGTTAATTCTTGTGCTTGTGAAAGGCATAAGGCCTGTAGCTAGATTCATTTATTTTTGCATGTGGATGTCTGGTTGTTCAGCACCATTTGTTGAAAAGACTGTTCTCTCTCCACTGAATTGCCTTTTTTCCTTTGTCAAAGATGAACTGACTCTGTTTGTGTGGGTCTGTTTCTGGAGACTGTTGTGTCCCACTGATCTGTTTGTTCTTTAGCCAATACCACACTGACTTGATCCACTATAGTTTTATTGTAACCTTGAAATTGGATAGTATTGTGTGGGCTATTGTAGATCTGCCTTTCCGTATAAACTTTACAATCAGTTTGTTGATATCCATAAAATAACTTACTGGGATTTTTACTGGGATTGTGTTGAATCTATAGATCAAGTTTGGAAGAAATGACATCTTAACAATATTGAGCCTTCTGTCTATGAACATGGACTATCTCCCCATTTATTTAGATCTTTGATTTCTTTCATCAGAGTTTTATATTTTTCTTCATGTAGATCTTGGATATATTTTGTTAGATTTATACCTATTCAAATTTTTGGTGCTAATGTGAAAGGTATTGTGTTTTTAAATTCAAATTCCAATTGTTCATTGCTGATGGGTAGGAAA